GACCGAACCGGACATCGGCAACACTACCAGGACCTGGATGCCAAGCTATTATAATATTCCTGAGACCAACAAATCTCGACCGTCCCGCGTAAGTAGTAGTCGTAGCGCGTCCTCGCACGAATCAAGACAACCCCTCACCGCGCATCCTGCGTGGCCGCACATTGCAAGAGCAGTGCCGCTCCGTTCGACCCGGACTGGGGTTCTACCTGCGAATATCTCCTCTAACTTTTACCTGTCGACCGCAATAATCGCCGTGTCTGTGATCCTCACTTACCAGCACCTCATTCCACTCAACCGAACCCCCCATGGCGCGAACGCGTAGGCGCGTGCTTCGCAGCACGGGGCAACCGGCGCTCGTTCGACTCGGGCGGAGGATCTGCAGCATTGCCAGTTGCTTTTTTAAACGGTGGAACTGTTTTGCGGGAGAAATGCAAGACTTACTCAGGGCGTGTCGGTCGTTCATTAATTTCTTTTCAGGCGTCGGGTTTGATTGGTTCACGGAATCTTGACCCGTCGCCCAACCGCAAGCCTTCCCCCTCTGATTCGTTCGTAGGACATCCACCGCTCACCAGACGTATTCGACACCTCATGGCGCCTGACGCCGACCCGCGTTCTGGAAGAAAACGGACGCGAAGTTCAACTCGTTCGACTCGGGATGGGGTTCTTTGCGAAGATGAAATGAAAATCCTGCGCCAACGCGGACGAAATCAATTTGCCCCCAGTGCCCGGGTTCGAGGGGAGTTGAGTCAGCGTTGCGCCCATAGAAACAGTACCTCAGCGCGTGGTGCGCATCCGCGCTCTGTGGGCGACACGGATCAAGTACAAGCGGACCCTGGGGGTTGGATTATCGATATAGGTTTTTTTTTTGGAACACTTCCGACGCGATATGCTATAGCTTTCTGAACTTTACTACCACTACTCCCGAGCTGCATCAGTGCGTAGCTACTCCCGCGGTGGAGATGGGTCGACTCACGCATGTACATGCAGCTAGAGTCCGGGGCAACTCTGGATATGTGCCAGCCGAGTTGAGGCTCGATGAAGTACCGTTATCAGTGCGGAAGCTAGAACGAGCCTTCGAAGATCAAGGTGATCATTCCTCCAGTTTCGAACGCTTTCTTCGCCGTATTGCAGCGGAAATGGGAGGGTTCGATTCCCTCCGGTGGCGTAGGTAGTGTATAGTTGCACCTTTTTTCACGTCGTCTACGGACCTCCCAGGAATTGGACGGTTGGTCAATCAATTGACCGCAATCCAGAACGCACTGAGAGGATAACAGCTGATATCGATGACTCCCCGCGCCAGTCGGGATTGTGAGGAAGGAGGGACAGGAGGCTCGAAGCGCATGCTACGCCTATAAAAGTTGAGTGCACGTCGGCGACGATCAGGGTGATCTTCTCCTGTTCGACTGGAGCTTCGACCCGAAGAGCCAAGGTTCGAGTCCTTCGGCCGACATGACACCTGGTGCGAACTTTTTTTTTCGCCGAGCGGGTACCAGGATGAGTTGAGTACGTTCACGCCTACATGGAGCGCAGCCCTTGGCGACTTCTGCTCTCGGGGATCCGGGGTGGGGTGATGTGCCGCCGCTGGTTGAGACGGTCGTGGGTGGAGCTGGGCACAGGCGGAATTGTGGTCGCTCAACGGTTCGGAAAGTGACTGAAAGGTTAGTCTTGAGTTTACCGCGCGGCGGAACCCCGGTACCCACCCTTATTACGTAAAGTGCGGAGTTTCAATTCTGATTTTCCTACTACAGATGTTTTGAGCCCCCAAAATTTATACACTCTCTCCAGCTGCCCTTTCACTACACATAGAAGACAATTGATCCCCCAGACCCTTGTAAATGCCCGAAATTTGAGGCCAGAAACCACTCCCTGATTTGTAATCTGCCGGGTGATCAAGTTCGGCATCGCCGTTCTGCGGTCTCAAACAAAATTGTGGACACAAGGGTCAGTGAGTTCAATTCAGGTGCCATGAATCCACCTAAATACCAGCAGAAAACACCGCTCAAACCTCAGGGTAAAAAGGTGAATTTTGATAACCCTGGGTACCGATCGGCCAGGTGCGGAAGCTGACAGACTACAACAATCGAGGTACGAGATTTTTTTGTTGTAGAGTCTGTTTAGAAGAGACTAAGTCCAGTGGTAAAATACGAAAATCGTAATTCGCGGCGCCGCGCTGCCAGAGTTAGCCAGGTCATCGCTGGGAAGCCCAGGGGAGGCAGAGGTGCCAAGAAGGGTGAGATGCGCCGCGACCGGGACGAGTCCGGGCTTTGGGATGGTTTGGGAGTCGCGACATGAGCGTAAGAAGGGGGGAGAATACGGCATGGGGTTCGGATCACACAACACAGCCACTCGGCACGCCTTCTCTTTCACCCACCACGACGACGTCCTCCTCCCCGACTTGCCACCTAGTCCACCTTCCCTCGTCGTTGCGAGCATTCAATTCATCCCATGTGCCTTGCCTCTCGGTGGAACCTGGCCACGCCAGAGCGACGGGTCGACGGCGTAGACCATTTTTTCCGGCGCATCATGCAGCGTCTCATCCAACATTTCGGTCTCCTGTGCTTCTCAGCCCATCATTGTGGCCCTCACTACTCCTTGAGGCATTTCTGCGTACTTCCCCTGGCCGGCCGACTACGACAACTCCAGCTTTTTCTCTCGCGCGCGGCCGCCAGCTACTGAAGGCTCTGCCTCTCCTAGGTGTTGCTGCTTGTCAATCCTTCTCGTTTGTATCTTGCTGTACCTTGCCGGCGTTCCGTGAGCTTCGTTTCCTCCCTCAGTCCGCCCCACCCATCCGTGCATATTCTGCAAGATCGCAAGGATAATCATTGACCGCGGCGGGGAGCAGATCTCCATGGTGTGTCATGGCTTCTTCCTTCCTTTTACTTTGTGTGTGGATAAAAAATACTCGACCCTCAGCTGAGATAGCGGGATGGCACGACTCGCCGCAGAGATACACAACGTATCGCGCATAATTCAAGGCCCAAGTAATTTGAACCCACTCTCCAGAAGAAAATGGACGCGACGTTCCACCTGTTCGACTCGGGATCAGGGTCTTTGTCGAATACGCAACGTTCCTTTTTCCCACTGGCACAAGCGCAACGCGGGCGAAATCGATTTCCGAGTGCCCGGTTTCGAGGGGTGTTCAGCCAGTCTTACACCCATAGGAAAAGAACCTCAGCGCGTGGTGCGCGTCTGCGCTCTGTTGACGAAGACTTGAATTACAAGTGAACCCCCGTTCGACTCGGGGTGAGGTCTTGGAGGCTCGATATAGGATTTTTTTTGAAGACTTCCGACGCGACATGCTATAACTTTTCAAACTCTCGACCGCTACTCCCGAACTGCATCAGCGGGTAGCTAGCTATTCATGTTCCCGCGGTTGCGATGGGTCGACTGATGCATGTACAGGCGGCTAGAGTCCGGGCAGACTCTGGATATTCGTCGAACAGATTCTACCTGAGCAGCCTATGTCAGTGTGGCCGGTTGAAATTATGGTGGATGGGGGGAACGAGGCAACACTGAAACAAGCCTCCGAAGATCAAGGTGATCATTCCGTCCAGTTGGGTGTTTCGTACCTTCGCTGTGATGCAGCGGAAACGGTGAGGGTTCAACTCCCTCCGGAGGCGTGGGCTTCACCACATTCCCCGTTGTTTTGTCGTGTGCGGACCTCCGTGGGATTGGACGATTGGTCCATCAATTGACTGCAATTCAGAACGCACTGAGAGGATAACAGCTCCGATATCGATGACTCCCTGCAAGCTTGAAGCGTGTCGTGCACTAATGGATGGGAGAGAATGCTAAAGGGACGTCGGCGAGGACCAGGGTGATCTTCTCCTGTTCAACTGGAGTTTCGACACGGAAAGTGAGAATTCGAGTCCTTCGGCCGACATGACGGCGAGTGCAAACTTTTGTTTTTGTTTTGAGCGAGGGGGTATCAGGATAGTAATGAGTTGAGTACGTTCACAAATACATGGGACGACGTGTTTGATTCAGACGACTTATGCTCTCGAGGACCCGGGGTGCGGGGTGATGTGCCGCCGCTAGTTGAGACGGTCGTGGGCAGCGCGTATTAATGCAAACGTTGAAGTAACACGGGATTGCAGACCAAGGTGATCGATCGCCCCGTTCCGTCTTGAGCTAGCTCGCAGCGCACGAGGGTTCGATTCCCTACCGAGGATAGAGTGTCTTGGAAGTATTTTGCGGTGGTCCTGGGGCGCCGAGTGATGCACTGATGGTTGCTGGATTATGCTTCAAGGCACCGGACGTTGGGAGAGAGATGGAAGGAGGAAGAAGGAATCTTGAAATTCGTGTGAGTGGTATAATCGACGGCACCATTAATCCTGTCGACAGTGGAAGTAATCGTGGACTTCGATTTAACTGAACAGACTCGGGTTTGGTCGTCGTATCTGCAGGACCACGGCGACAAGGAAGGTGGAGAATTGCTGTCCAGGACCAGGAGCAGTCCCGTTGAGCGGTTGACGTAGGGTTCGAGTCCCTCCCGGGACATTCTTGTTGTGTGCTTTATCCTTTTTCGTTGACGATTAGAATTGGCATTCACGATACGAAGGAGCGTTGCTGCGGTCGAGAGCTTGAACGCCTTCCATTCGAGGCCTTGGTGACGGCCGGAATTCCCCGCGTCGGAAGTTACCACGCAGGTCGGAACGAGGTCGCAGTACACACAGGTAACATGAGTATTTCAGAGTCGCAAACTGCACGAGAGCTTGTGTGGTTGACGCCGTCTATCCAGGTGCGGAGCGGTGGGTAAGCAAGAGAACTGCAGTGACCGACATTGCTGTTGGTTGAATGCCATGCCACATTGAACGCCTTGAAACCTCTGAGATCGCTGTTCAACCTCTGCAGGCGATTCTTCGGAATAATTTGAGGTGGGTTGAGATTATAGTCGACGCAGGTTTGGCGGCCACATACTGAACGGCCGAGGCAATCTCAGACAAGGCCGAGATTCTGCTGGAATTCTCGACAGCTTCCCCGAGAGAAAGCAGCTATGAGTCCTCGTCGATCAAAAGACAGATCATCCCAGTGCGATAAGTAAGTCTCAGTTCACTTCAATGGGAAGGCGGCGGTTCAAATCCGCCCGAGGATATAGACGGCGGGAATAAGCGTCTTTTTCGATAGGAACCCATGTTGCTCGAGATCCTCAGAAGCGAGGAAGCGGATGATGGATCCGGACGGCGGGCACGGTTGGATCGGTTGCCACCCACGCAGGACTTGCACCACAAAACGAGTGTCTTCGCAGCAGAGCAACGTATTTTGAGTCCTCGTTGACACATAGACGCGGCGCGTCTTGAGGTCAAGTCAGGTGGAGGCGCTGGAGGACATGAGTGGTACATAGTGGTATTTTTGTGCAGAATGTCCCCGGTGCGGTGAGGATTTCTGGGTTAAGAATCGTCGGTTCGCCGACGCATCGCCCATCGTCATACATAGATTGTGTCGACGGAGTTGCTGCTTGGAACATGTACTTCGCGAGGCGCAAATATCCAGAGAGCGGTTATGACGGGTATTGAGCCAATGAAGGACGGCGGAAGACGAGGATGCTGGAGCCCACGATGGCAAGCTCGAACGTAGCTTCGAGACGCGAGGTTGAGGGTCGGTGGTTCAAATCCACCAGGGTCCATAGTAAGGCTGCGAGGTTTGCTTTTGCTGACGCGAGTGGGGCCGTTCAATAGGTGAATGGATGCGAGGTCTGAGTGGTGAGTTTTCAAGGAATATCTTGCAGGCGCCAGGGGGAGAGCGCCGTCAATGAGGGAGGAAACGCACAGCGGAATACTCGCCCGCCAGAAGACATCGGCCAAATCGCAAGATCTAGCAGCAACGCAGAACATACGGTGGGTGAGGTCGAATTACAAGACAGTGATTCTGAATATGGCGAGCGCGCGGGAACGCGGCAAGTGGAGCTCGAGGTCATCGTGGCTGAACGATAGGGAACTAGCAAGGCAGAAGAATGCAGAGGGCGCTCCGAGGCTGAATGGAATGAAGGTTTGAGGGGCTGAGATGACAAAACCAAGACTCGTCGTCCGAATTTGAATTGGGGCGCTGAAGACCAAAATGTGCAGGGTCAGCGAGAGAGTGTTGCGAAGCGTAGGTGCAGATCCCCCGGGTGCCGCTGGGTGATACGCTAGTCCACGAAGCCCGGCATGGCGTTCGAGTCCGCTTGAGCCGGGTGAGATCATTTCGGCGCGGTGTAGGTGGTTCCTCGGCGCGTTTTGCGGTAGGGTTGAGACAGGAGTCGAGGTGGAGTTGCAGCAAGATATTAGACAAGAGGGGTATTTTGTCAAGCGGAGGATAGAGAGGCTACGTTCGCCCGCGGTTCTGGAAGAGTCTGTTTGAAGAGGAACGTCGCCGCGTCGGGGCAGCGGAGTTTTGCGTGAATTGGCACACAGGGGAGTGAGAAACACCCAGCGGAGCCGAAGCTTTTTGCAACTTGGAGACCCAGTCCATCCGGCGACGATAATGCTCGATAATCCAGCCTGGACCAGCCAAGTCGTCGTTTGCAATCCTATGTGCGCTGCGGCGCTTCCGCAGTGGTGGCAAGTTGCCCAGTGTCTGTTGTTGACCATACTGAAGACTAAACCAAGTCCTCGTCCGATTCCAGTCAGAGGACGACGAGGTCTGAGCGAGATGGGCGTTCGCGAGATGGACGTTTGCGGAAAGATCCGGGGTGGCAGTGCACATTGGATCAACGGATCGTCAGCCGCAGCTTGCCTCCTGCCACCATGACTGCCGCACAATTCCTACTGCTTCGACCTCCTCCTCCTCAAAACCTCTGTCGCTAGCATCTCTGTGACCCCGGGGCCATCGGCTTCTTCCTCTCTTTCGATTATGCCTAAAGCCCGAAATAAATGTTTGAAACTCAACGTCCCTTCGTGTTTTACTCGCTCTACGTATTGAAGCACTTAGTCCTCAGCGCTCGGCCTGGTCGATCCACCCATCACGAATACAACTCTGTACCATCTATTCCGCCGACTTCGCCCGGAATATCGCCTCCACAGTGCCCACGACTCGACAACCGCGACCTTCCTCCTTTACGTCCCACTTGCATCCTGCTTTTGTTTCCCGCTTGACTCTGGAGCCCTGATCTTGCAGAGCTGACAGGCTTCTCCGGCATCTCTAACTGCGATGAAATGTACGCGGTGCGCGACGAGAAGAAACTTCAGCACCACTGGCAGCGGGAATGCAGTACTTGATTCCTTCTTGCGAATCACTCAAACCTGCACCTCTATCCTCGTTCCCAACAGGACTGAATGCAAAGTGGTTGCAGCCGTACTCCATGAGGAGACCGTTCCGATGTATGCGGCCCGCCCGTTCGACTCGGGCGCAGTCCATAACAATTCGTGCAACTTTTTCTTCCTGCCGTGCGGATCCAGTTTCGGACCGTCCGATCAACTAGCCCAGCTCTTGACGGGTGCACGGTCCGAGGACGTCCCCAAATCTCAGCGCCAACAAGCATAATAATATATGTTGAGGTGAGCTCTGACTGTGTCCCCATCGCTGTCCTGATGCTTTCTTGCCTCTATAAACTTTCTACTCGCTCGTGGGACCCTGCGGTCAAACTCTTCCGAGTGCTCGCCGGGTCGTTGGTCTTCCCCCATTCCTTCGCGCTCGCCCCATGGTCGGCAGAAGACCACAACTTGAACAAAAAACCTCCATATCGCCCTCACGTCCTCGAGCGGATTCGAACCGCCTGCAACACCTATCGGGTGGTCAACCATGATATCAACGAGGACTACTTGCTCTCCAGACCTCATACTGGAATGCAAGTGGCTTGCTGTTGCCTGGAACGCGAATACAACCAGAGCCGTGCCTCGTGAGGCGCGGTGGGAAAAATGCAAAGCCTACAAACACAGAATAATGGACTGAGCTCGAATCGAACGAACGGCGCTGCCAGCGCAGAGTCGCAGCAGCCAGCTGCGAACCACTTCACGTCAGTCCTGGGATTCAACTGATGAAATGTGAGGCGACATAGCTAACGGGTTGGCAGTTTTCAAGTACGGCGGGCGTCCGTGTCCAGCATGAAAGGAGCTGAATGTTGAACCTGAGTCCCAGAAGCCGCCTTGCATTGCGATTAATTGGCGGGATAGTGAGGCGAGATTGGGGCGTACGGTGGTTTGAATGAGGAGGAATTGTTGGGCCAGCGCGAGGTTGCCCTCAAAAAGTTCAGCGCGAAGTACATGACAGGGCTGATCCCGAATTGAACGGGTGTGCGTGAACCATCCTAATCGGTGCGCACGCGAACCATTTCGCTTTCCGTCCTTCATTTTCCTGTTGTGAACTCCCGGTTTGGGTAGCGCAGTAATATCGCTCACCCGAGTACGACGGGCGAGAAGCAGGCGCACAAATACAAGGTCAGCCGGGACGTTGAACTCGACTTGAACTGTGATCCCAACGTTAGTGTGAACCTGAAGATCAAGGGATGTTAGACATGCGGAGGAGGACGGCGATGGCGGGTCGGCGAGTACGATTTTCGACTCGGAGGGAGAGGAGGAAGGGTGGGCGGGAGTTAAAGACGGGGAGGTCGAGGATTAGAAGGATGAGGGGGTCGGTAGGGAGGAGGCGCTGCAGATTTATGAAGTCGAGGAAGGCGAAGTGATGAGGAGATCGGTAGAGAGGACTCTCGAGGTGAGCACGCGCGGCACTCTGAACAGGAAACCGAAAACCTAAACGGCAACGAGCGCTTCCGCGGCGTGAAGGATGTGCGGCACGTCGGGCACAGAAATATTACAATTCTTGAAGTCCTGTGGATCCGATGTCGACCCACATGGCCTAGGCGCGGATCTGTGAGGACGCGGTTCGACTCCGCTGAGGGACCTCAAACTGCCGGCTGGGATTTTTGGCACCTGCCTAGAGTTTCGGCGCAGACCTCGAGATAGTTAGATGGGAGGAGGTTAAAAACGGCGGAGTGTATTCTTGGGGGACGCGGGAGAGGGCGGCCGCGACGGGGTTGCTCCAGGCAAAGGAAGGATCAGGAGAGATACTTCGAGTGGCGATCCTCCAGAAAGCATCAGCGAAGAAACCGTTGTCGGGCGCGAGGCTGGTTATGAGTCCACAGGGTGATCTGTACGCTTTGGTGACTAAGATGTTCTCCGAGCAGAAGTTGGAGGGCAACGTGGTTGAATCGAGGAGTAGATATTTGCGAGCGTGGAGGTGCGGTCTGTTGAGCTGGGAGGGAGTATTGCACGGATTGGCTTCTGATAGATTATCGGGATCACTGCGCGAGAGACCAGTGTTGGGATCCTACGAATGACCCAGCCCATTCAAGCCTGCTGAGCCGCGTTTCGGATAGAGTCAATCGCCATGTTCAGGAGGTTGGCGGAACAGGTGGATCCGACCGGGGAGAGCAGGCAAGTGGGGAGGCAAATCATAGGGAAATCTTCAGCGGGGAATCTTCAGCGAGAAAGTGTGTGCGGATGTAGCAGAAGGCAGAGCATGGATCAGCCAAGGGCCGTCTCGAGTGTGCTGCTCGAGTTCCTTCAGAAACCGCAACATCTGGGCGACATGGGCGTTTGCTGAGAGAGATCCGCGGTGGCGGTGTTTGTCGGATCAACAGATTCGTCGGCACTAGCCGCGGCTTATTTCTTGCCACGTCGACCGCGTCGCAAGTCCTCTCTCCTTTGAGCTGTTTCTCGTCTGGAATGCTTCGAATTCGCTGGCCTCAATCTGCCTTGCTCTTGGAACTTCTTCATGAGACCGCTGGCCAATTCCCAGGGCTCTTGTTATGTTCCAACTTCCAAGCTTTCAGTGTCTCCTCAGCTACTTATGACGATATTTAACCAACGGATCTTACTGACACTGACCCATCCCCTAATATTCACTCTGCGATGGTTGCGTGGGCAGCGGGAATTTGCTCGGACCCTAGCAACAGGAGATACCTAGCCCGACACCCTTTGTTCGCGTCCGGTGCGTATCGACTCTCCACCCTCTCGGTCTAGAGTTCACGCTCACTCATTACAGCCTTTCTGCGCGTTCTCGTTGATCCGGTCGCTCCCGCCACCATTCCACCAAATTCCCTGGCTATCGAACCAAGTGCTCATCGGAAGGCACCCCGGACACACATCGTTGTGTAAATTCAAACTATGCCCGTTCGAG